TCAATAATGGCCTGTCCTTGGGAATTATATGGTATTCCCGTAATGTGCTGAATTTTCCACCTTTTACAAAATTTCTGGAATTGACAGCTTGTATAAGCAGGTCCATTATCGGTTTTAATAATCTTTGGAATTCCCATGACGGCAAAAGCAGTTAGGCAATGATTAACAACCTGTTTTGCTGTTTCTCCTGTAGATGCAGTAGCCCATAGGACTTTTGAAAAGGTATCTACAGAGACGTGTAACGCCCCAAGACGTCCAAAAGGAGTATAATGTGTTACATCCATTTGCCAGATATGGTCCCTTAGCAAACCTCTAGGGTGCACTCCTGTGTTAGGCCCTTGAGGTAGATGTAACATGCAAGTGGGACATTCCTTGATAATCTGTTTTGCTTTTTGTAGAGATATTGAGAATTGTTTGGACAACATTTTAGCAGGCTGATGTAAAAGCTGATGAGATCTGAGGCCTCTTTTAATAAAGCAACCAATTGATCAGCATGTGCATTTCCCTTAGTTAATGGGCCAGGTAATACGCTGTGAGCCCTGATGTGAGTGATATAAAAAGGGTATTTTCTCTGCTGCACAATCTGCTGAACCTGCTTAAACAGTAAGAATAAATTTTGGTCACTAAGCCATTTCAACCGGGCAGTTTCAATTATACTTACTAGGCCCAAAGCATAAGAGGAATCAGAAATTATATTAATAGGCTGTTGGAAATCTTGCAACGCAGCCTTAACAGCTTCATTTCTCAATCAGTAGCATTTTTAAGAATAAACTTCAAAAATGCAAGACATAATCAACCAACAGATTAAATTCTGTCCTCTAGGTTTTGTACGAGGCACACTCAGATCTCATTTGATTCAGTATTATGTCACTTCAAGATACCTAGGTATAAGTTTTTATCATTTGATTCAGTAAACTCCAAGGTCCCAAGTTTCCAGCGGCTCTGGAAAACCACACCCAAGGCTGACTCAGCCCTTGATTTTAAAACGACCATAATTTTTTCTACTCTTCTCTGCTAGTGAAGACGATAGGTAGTCTCCAACAACTTTGAAAGAAAACTAGAGAGATATTTCATAACACTCTAAAACTGATTTTTTTTTCCCAGAATGGACTCTTTAGATCATGGTTGAGAAAGTTTGATTATTTTTTTCTTTTATTAGAAAACATAAATACAAATGTACATTAAAATTGTAAAAGAGCATAGTTTTTAGGATCTTGTCAAATAAGAAACATTCAAACCTGTGAAGAATTTTTGTGAGTTTATTTGAGCTAAAACTGTCGACAATTGCTGGGAAGGAAAATCTCAATGGATTGAGATATTGCTCTGGACAATGGCCATTTTGCTCCTTATTTTACACATTACAATTAAAAGAGGATACATAAGTGGTTACATGAAATCCATTGGTGATATATTAGGGAGGCAGGAGAAAGAAAAATAGGGAAGCCTCTTCGAATGGATAAAAAGTAAAATGATAGATACATACTTCTTTTACTTAGGTGGGTGCAGGATAGTTAACAGTCAACAATGAGCTCAATAACATTGGGAGGTTTGTGGTCTCTGCAGAGCAGGGCCTGTGTTTTGAGGGGTCCGGGAAAGAGAAAATTACTTTGACATTCCAAAGATATGTTATTATAGATGCAAAAAGTCAGACAGAGTCAGTTAAGGTAAACATTGACCTTTGTCAGGAAATATACTGGTCTAGGACATGACAAACCACCATAAACTGCTTTTAATTAAATAAGTTTTAATTTCAGACCATCTTTTGTGGTTACTTAGTCTCTGAGCTTGAAAGGTAGCCATGCAGGTCTTCCCTGAGTTAGTCAAGTTAACATGTGGTCCCTTTTCAACCACAATCTTAGTAAACCAGCATATTATGAAAGGTGTCAAAGATAATGTGAAGCCACAATACAAATATGAGAAAGTTTTTTAAAATATCAGTTAGATTAAATATTTGAAGGAAAAACTTTTCATAATTAATGACAATTTATAAATGTAGAAGAAATGTTTGAGTTGAAAGATGACTAGAAAAATTACATAAGAATCATCAGTGGATATATAAAGTGAAGTGAGCAAAAGTTTGATGAGTAGTCACATATACATATTCACCAAGTATCACTGCAAAGTAGTGACATAGAGGGAAAAATTAATCTTAGAAAACTGGCATAAACTAAATTAATCACAAAATCAAAGTTAACATCCAATATTGAGACAAACCATTATCAAGGGGCTTCTAATATAATACACTAAAAAGAACACAATATCACTTCTGTCATGTGTTGCCAAAAATGCATCAATTTAATATAATCATGAAGAAATGGTAGATATTTTATAAAATAATGGACTGAATTATTCAAAAACAGCATGGTCAATACAGACAATGAAAGACTGTAGTTGCCCTGGGGTCAACCAATCACTGGAGACCACGACCCTGAAAGAGCACACAGGGAAAGCTGATGAATATTCTATTGAGACCCTCCCCTAAGACTTCCCCTACAATTTCTACCTGCAAGAGAGAGATACATACACTCAAGATGAAGGACTCAGGGCATGCTCTCCCTCAGGGGAGCATGCCCAGGCCATTCTCTTTTACCTTTTTCCCTCTAAGGGACCCCACAAGACTTACAAACAGGGAAGCCATAGGCAATGACAGCTGGTCCCAGGCTAACCCACTGAACCTGTCTCCAAGGACCCCTTTTCTCTGACTTCTCATTGAACCAAAGTAGCCCCGCCTAGGCTCTCCTGTTGCTTCTTCTATGCCCTTCCTTGTTTCACTGTCCTAAGTATATTTTTTTCTGAAGCCAATAAATTCTTGTCTCTTGATTGAAATCTTTCCCTCATGAAGTCAAGAACCGAAGTCTCATGGTCTCATAACACCATGAGGATATTATTGGGACAACTGGGAAATATTCTAAAAGATGTCTGCAAAATAGATCATCATTTTAGGTGAATGTTAATGTCCTTATTTTGGAAATTACTATATGATAATGTAAGCAAATGTCTCTGTTCTTAAAAATTACAAATGGACATATTTAGAGGGATAAGGACCAAATGACTTCAAGTTCTACTAAAGTAATGCTAAAATAATGTAATTTTGGTTCCATAATTGATTGAGATTGATTTGTGGAAAATTTGGTATCTAATTTGGTGTTGGTTACCCCTAGGAAATATTGTATTTGCTTCTCCTGAAGATAATATCACTTTTGGCCCTGGCTGGTTTGGCTCAGCGGATGGAGCGTTGGCCTGCGGACTCAGGGGTCCCAGGTTCGATTCTGATCAAGGGCATGTACCTTGGTTGTGGGAAGAAGTGTTCAGGAGGCAGCTGATCAGTGTTTCTCTCTCATCGATGTTTCTGACTCTCTGTCCCTCTCCCTTCCTCTCTGTGGAAAATCAATAAAATATATTAAAAAAAATATATCACTTCTGTTCTGTTTTCTTTCAATTTCTATGACATAATCCAAAATAATTACTTTGAGTTTTTTCATCTACCTCTGGCAATACTAATCATGAAATTTTCATTAGGCCCATCCTGCATTTTCTTAATGAAATTAAGCCTTTAGAATTAATTGAATTGCAGTTATCAATTTTATATTTTAATAGTCAATTTTTCATGCCCTGTTTAGGAACTTTTTTAAGGACATGAAGATACACTATGGTATTTCCTTACAGAATATGTTCAATATTTTATATTTAGTTATACGAGAGGCCCAGTGCACAAAATTTGTGCACTGGCGGGGGGGGGTCCTTCAGCCCAGCCTGAGCCCTCTCACAGTCCAGGAGCCCTCAGGGGATGTCTGACTGCCTGGCTTCTGGCTGAGTGGCGCTCCCCCTGCGGGAGTGCACTGACCACCAGGGGGCAGATCTTGCTTTGAGCGTCTGCCCCGTAGTGGTCAGTGCGTATCATAGTGAGCGGTTGAGTAGCCTTAGCATATCATTAGCATATTACTCTTTGATTGGTTGAACGACAACTAGATGACTGGACACTTAGCATATTAGGATTTTATTGTAAAGGATATTTCAATTTAATATATTTTGTTGGTCAAGAATGAGAGGGGTCTAAGTTTTTATAATACTTTCTAGTTTACAAATTAGCCTGCCACCAATTCATTGATACTGTAGAATACTTATGATTTCTGGCTCAAGTACAAAGCATGTCTGTTATTCACAGCAAAAGCAGTATCCATAGTACCAGAATTTGTGTAAATTCCACAAGTAACAATTTCTACAATGTTACATGGAGAAGGACAGATGAAACCTGAACAAAGAGATGGTTTTATTACAGAAGAGAAACCTTGAGCTTAGTGATCCTAACTTTTTAATAATGTTCAGTGAACATGCATGCCATTCCTGTAGAAAGAATGGCATGCATCTCTATCTCTCTTTTCCAAGGCTGTAATCAAAACTATTATGTTTTCTGGAAAGAGTTGCTCATGATCTCTGTCTTCCAAAGTTGTTTGTGATACAAACATCTTTGAGAAGATACCCTGGAGCAAAGACAATCAGTTATTCTTTTCATAAGTCAGGCAGAAACATGAAAGACTTATAATAAATTTTATCCTATCAATATCCACCTCAATTTTCTTTCCAGGCTTCTGGTGAATTTTTCTGAGTACGCCATTTTGTTGGTGCCTCTGATTAATCTGATGAACATTGACTGTCACAAAAATTCATTCAATTTGTCTCATTCAGGATTAATTTAAGTCTCTATCATTGTAATCACAAGCAGAAGGATGAGTCTCAACAATGTCCACTAAAACACCATGCCAAACCAGTGCCACAAATCCCATAAATCATCAGGGTCTACAACAGAAATCCAAGTGGATTTCTCTATAAGTCTCTAACTTGAGGCATTAATGTAAATATAGATGGTCCCTGTCCTATAATTTTTTTGAATTTATAATTGTGCAAAAGCAATATGCATTTAGTAGAAATCATACTTTGAATTTTTAAATGTGTCCTTTTTCTATGCTGTAAGACACTATCTCATGATGCTGGGCAATAGCAGCAAGCCATAGCTTCCATCAGTCACATAATCATGAGAGTACATAACTAGTAATACACAATATACTCATTGTGTCAGATGACTTTGTCCAGCTTTAGGCTAATGTAAGTGTTTTGAGGACACTTAAGGTAGACTAGGCTAGTCTTTATAAATTAATCTAGTGCCTGTGTTTTGTCCTGTGTGTGTGTGTGTGTGTGTGTGTGTGTGTGTGTGTGTGTGTGTGATTGTATTTTAGAACAATTACCTGAGAACATTTAATTCAACCTCAGTTTTTTTTCCACACTATCAACAGAGTAGCAATAATCTGTTAAATGGTATATAGAGCAATATTTATGAAAATAGGAGTTGGGAAGACATCTGGATTTTTCACAGATAATTTCTAAAGGAAGTTAAAGAGATTAGGGTATACTCTGCTGTTTCTGATAGGCTCTTTGGTGAAGTTAAAGTTTAAGACAAATAGAACAGGTCAGAGATGTCTGACAGTGAATCATAGAGTCAGCAAAAAGTTAAAAAAAAGAGTAAAGTTTAAATAATGTGTACTGACAGATGCTCTCTACTAACACAAATAAGTTTATACTACTCCAATAGTTACAATTTCACCTTCGTTCCAACCACACCACACTTGTGCCCTGAAAGATAAGATGCTAGAAAAATAAAGGTAATTTTATAAAATTTAAAAATATAGTTCTACCCAGTGTGATTCAGTTGGTTGAGCATCGACCTATGAACTAGAAGGTCATAATTCAATTCACGGGTACATGCTGGGTTGTGGGCTTGATCCCCAGTGTGGGGTATGCAGGAGGCAGCCAATAAATGATTCTTTCTCATCATTGATGTTTCTATCTCTCTCTTCCTCTTCCTTCCTCTCTGAAATAAGTAAAAAAATTTTTTAAAAGAGAAGTGGTTTTCAAGATGGTATGCAAAGTAGCATCTCAAATGAGTTTATAAATCACTGTATATCACTAGTTTCCAAATGCAAAACAGTAATATTTTCTTATGTGTGGAAAAAAATTGTAAAAGAGCACTATGTGCTAAATTTTCATCAATATAAATATACTTATTTTAAGACATAATGAAGTTGTGCCTTTTATAGCTTTCAAAAATAAAAGTACTCCATTAAGGAAATAATGCTAATGATAGGTCATTTCATTAAATTTTCTAATGAGTATTTTTATAACTCACAAATAAACTATTTCTCTTTAATGTACACATCATGCCTCATCCCACTAAAGAATATGGATAGAAGTTTGAGGGTTTCATTTGCATTTGCCAATGCTTTTAATACACTGACATTTAACAAATAAAGGCATAACATTTGAAATATTTTAGCTCAGATAGGTATTCTTTTATTAATTACTCTCTTTCTGCCTTAATTCCTCTTTAACTATATTTGTTCTCCTGTCCTAATTTGAAGATGATTCTCATTGTGTCACTGGTTATAGTTCTTCCTTAAGACAGTTCTTAAAAGGTGGAACATATAGGAGTCTCACAGATAGTTGTTTGATAAGAAAAAAAAAGAATAAAGCAGTAGATTTTCTTTGTCATTTACAAAAGGCAAATGTATGCTGAAATATTTTCTGAGTGTTTCCTGACATGCTGTGCTGTCATGCTAATGTGTTTGTTCTAAGAGTCTCTTATACTTCATTAGTTAAATGATCATCCGATTGTTCTGTGTGACATATTAATGAAATCAGTTGAATCCAGGACAAAAACAATACTGATTCAAATGCATCACTCTATTATCTTTAATGAGATTGGCACACTGGCCTCTTGTAATCAAACAATAATTAAATAATAATCCAAATGTTGTCCAAACTGTCATTTGACCTATTTGTATTTTCTGGTTACTTATTCTTCCTTTCTCCTTGGCCATTGTGTATAAAGATTTCATTTTGGTATAGCCTCTTCAACCCCAGGAGTTTTAGTAATTTTCATTTTCAAAGTGGGAGGCATAATTAATTGAAGAAAATTTTCCGGATACCTATGAACATTTTTTCCCAGGTTAAATCAATTGTTCTGACTCTCACATTGATGAAGTGTGAAGAATGAATACATTGATTACTTAATGGGCTCTCAACTTTCAAATATTTTATTCAGGCCAGAAGTTTCAGACTTTTAATTTTCTTATGTAGGTCAATCTCTTAATATTGTAATTTATTTATTTAGAAATGAATTGTAATCCTTGCACAAAGCATATCTATTTGGGCCCTAGTTATAAAATTTTCCTTGCAAGATTTTGCTAGCAAAATTAAGCCAAGCTGAATCATGGATAACATAAATGAGTATAAGATCAGCAAGGGCAGAAGCAATCTTCATAATGGACTGGAAGTTATAGCCCATGAGAGATGAGATGGCCAGAAAATGAACTAAAGTTGAAAGCTGATACAAAGGTACCCCATGTGAGCCCAAATGGCTTAGTGGATAATGTTCTCATTAAACATTACTTCCAACTTTCTGGTTGACTGGAAGTATAAGGAAAAGAAAAGAACATGCATTTTAATGTTTATCAAGTAGTTTCAACAAAAATTTTCACTTGATAGCAAAGTGAAATAAAGTAAATTTGAACTTATTTTATCTAAAATAAAACAATATATTATTTGAGGAAAAACTTTCTTCTATTAAAATGGTAGCATGATTTAGAAAAATTTGATTTTATAATATTTTTAGAAAAATAAATATTAGAAAAAGATTTCTGGGACACTTTAAATGAATGTTTATAATAACGAGCAATGCTATATTTTTTTCAATTAATTGCATAGCAGTGATTTAATCAATTTATTGATAGACAACTATGATTTTGGTATCAGACTTTTTTATTCAGTAAATGATGCTTCTTAATCCCTTAAAATATTCACAATTATGGAGTAACTGGTAATTTATTTCAATGATTACAACCTATTTTTAAATATAGAAAAGTTTGAGAAGTAACTTCAAACTTTGATTCACACTTAATTCAAGTAAATGATCCATGATATCCTTTCTGATAGCCATGATAAATTACAACCTGAGGAACAGACTCCTAGGTCAGCCTACCAAATTCAACAATTTCTATAATAATGATAAATAAGCTTTCATATTGTTTGGCCACTAATATTTTGGGATTGTTATTACTACAGCTAAGATTAACTTTATTTTAATATTACAGTGCCATATTATATTGTGTCTCACACATTGGAAATGGTGAAGCTCATATACTTTTAAAATTTCCAATTTGATAAGCCCCCTGTCTCCAGTTTAGGCTTATCAATTCAATGGTTAACTACTCAAGGTAGTTAAAAAACTGCCCCTTAACAAAAAAGAAACTGAAAGAAAAGGTGAGGAGAAACTTCAGGTTTGGTACAAGTCTACTACCAGTGACAAGAGAAGGTTGAGGGAGGAGCATTGGGTGAAGTCTACAGAGCAATTCTAAGAAAGTGTTTGGCCAAGCTGATGGGTGTCCTGAAGTCAAAGTTGCCCATTGGAGAAGTCCCGCTTCCTGCAAGAATGGGCCTGAATTAGTACCTCACCCTGCCCGTGGGATCAGCTGTGGGAAGCATGGCCTCTCACAAACACTGGGGTGGATCCAGAAGGGAAAACAGCCAGAGCCATCCGTCCACTACATCCCCTCAGCAGGAAATCTGAGTTTTCATCCTGCCACAGGATGTCAGGAAGATACAAAGGTACCCCATTAGTGGATAATTTGTATCTTATTCCCTCTGTTCCCATGGAGGAGAGAGAAGTTGAACACCACTTCTGGCTTCACACTGCCATCTCAACTCACTCTTCTGCAGGAGGGGAGGAATGACTTAGCTGGCTGTTGAATTTGGAAGAAGGAACTGAATGCGCCCAGCTCAATGCCATCAGGCTTTTGTCTACTCGCTGAAATAGCCAACTGTCTCTATACGGAAGGCTGTGATTGTCCACATGTGCCATTGACTAGTTAAGCATTTTTTATTTAGGAAAGAAGTACTAGTCCGTTTTATTAGTAATAAAAATGATTTTTAAAATAAAATAAAAATCTGCCCCCAAAGCTTTTCCTTTTGTAAGCTTAAACTTATTGAAGTGACATTGATTAAAAATATTTATGTAGTGTACAATTCTATGATTCACCATTTATATTTTGTATTGTGTGTTCACCACTCAAAGTCAAATGTTCTTTTGTTACCATATATTTGACCACCTTTACACTTTGTTACCACACCCAACTCCCCTTCACTCTGGTAACTGCCATACTGTTTTCTGTGTCTAGTCGATTTTGTTTGTCTTATTTGTCTTGTTTGTTCAATTGTTGCTTTCAGCTTTGAATCCCACATATGAGTGAAATCTTATGGTTCTTGACTTTTTGTGTCTAACTTACTTCACTTAACATGTTTTTCTCAAATCCATCCATGTTGTTGCAAATGGCAGCATTTTATCTGTATTTATTTGTGTGTGTGTGTGTGTGTGTGTGTGTGTGTGTGTGTGTGTGGCTGAGCAGTATTCCATTGTCTATAAGCACAACATCTTTATCCAGTCATCTATCAAAGGACATTGACTGTTTCCATGTCTTGGCCATTGTGAATAATGCTGTAAGGAACATAGGGGTGCATATATCTTTGTGAATAAATGTTTTCAAATTTTTGGGAGCCCAGAAGAGAGGTTGCTGGGTCCTATGAGAACTCGTTTCTTAGTTTTTTTGAGGAACCACCATACTGCTTGCCATATTGGCTGTACTAGTTTACATTCTCACCAGCAGTAAATGAGGCTCCCTTTTCTCCACAGCCTCTCTAACACTTGTTATTAATTGTCTTATTGATAACACCCATTCTAACATGTGTGAGGTGGTATCTCATAATAGTTTTGCTTTGCATTTTCCCAACAGCTAGTGAAGTTGGACATCTTTTCATATATCTGTTGGACATTTTTATGTCTATTTGGGAGAAGTGGATTGGTTTGTTTGCCTTTTTATTGTTGACTAAATGCCTGATGGCCAAAATTTATGCAAAGGGCTCAGCCCTCACAGCCCTGGCAGCTTCAGCCCTCACAGCCCGGCTTCATCCAAAAGGTCATCTGGAAAGTTGTTCTGCTGTTTGGTCTAATTAGCATATTAGCTCTTTATTATATAGGATTTGTATGAATTTTATGTATTTTAGATATTAACCCCTTGTGGGAGCTGTTGTTTGCAAATACCTTCTCCCATTTGGTTGGTTGCCTTTTTATTTTGTTGATTTTATTTTTTCTGTGCAGAAATGGTTTGGTTTGACATAGTCCCATTCACTTATTTTTGCTTTTATTTCCCTTGACTTTGAGGTCAAATTCATGAAATCCACTCAAACACCAAGGTCCATAAGTTTAGTGTCTATGCTTTTGTCAATGTAATTTATTGTTTCAGGTCTTATATTTAGGTCTTTGATCTATTTTGAGTTAATTATTGCATGTGAGTACAAACAGCAGTCTAGTTTCTTTCTTTGGCATGTGGCTTTCCAGTTTTCCCAGCATCATTTATTGAAGAGGCTTTTTTTTTCTCTCTCTGTTGCATGTTTTTGGCTCCTTCCCACACTTTTTAAAAGTGCCTTAGAGTATAAAGGAAGTGACTGAGAGAGAAATTATTTTAAGGTTACTTTTGCAGTAAATCTACTCATGCATTTATATTTGTTAACATGTCTTATCCATTCTATTATATTAAAAAGTCTCTAGGGGAGTAAAGTCTTTAATATAATTACACTGGTATTTCTCATGTCATTTTCAAATGGTACATTATTAAAATTTTGCTAGATGATGTAGGAAATTTGTTCTCATATGCGTGTCAGCATTCCTTCCCATCTTATTGATTCTACTTAGGAAAACCAAAATTTTAAAAAATTAATCTTGACCTGTGTTTTAAAATGTTTCCTAGAACTGAATATACTATTTTAATAGAATCTGATCAACTTAATATCTATGGTATCATTGAGTTCTTTGTTCTAGTTGTGTATGTGTACTACATAATCAGATTATATTAGATCTGGCAATATCTTGGTAATGTTAAAGGGTCTTTACCGAATTTTAATCATCTAAGAGTCACCTCTGTGGGGAAACTGCTCAATTATTTTAGAAGTGGTCAGGAAATGATCCTGAATAGATTATTTACAGAGTGTGTGAGGTATGTGAAAATCATCAGAAATTGAACCTTTGTTAGAAACAGTTTCTGGTGGTTCAAAATTGAAGAACAAGAGTGTAATGCTACTAACAATAATCTGTCAAAGAAAAAAAAGATCACTGAAAAATGACAATGGAAATTTGTTCAGTAATCAACATATATTCCAGTATGCCATTCCATATGGGGGAGAGGGAATTCTTTTAAAAAATGACTAAAATCATTATACATACATTAGTCTAAACCCATGGAATATTTAACATCAAGAGTGAACCAGAAGGTAACCATGGACCTTGAATGATTATGACATGTCTATGTAGGTTCATCACTGGTTAGAAATGCATATCATTCTGGTGAGTGATATTGATAATAGGGGAGGGTATACATGTGGGGGGTCAGGGAGTATATAGGAAATCTCTGTAATGCCCTCTTAATTTGGAAACGTAAAACTTTCCTCTAAGAAAATGAAGTCCTTGCCGAAACCGGTTTGGCTCAGTGGATAGAGCGTCAGCCTGCGGACTGAGGGGTCCCGGGTTCGATTCCGGTAACGGGGAATGTACCTGGGTTGCGGGCACATCCCCAGTGGGGGATGTGCAGGAGGCAGCTGATCGATGTTTCTCTCTCATCGATGTTTCTAACTCTCTATCTCTCTC